CTCAATTAAAAGTTATCGTGTCTCAAAGCATCAACCAATCAAATTGCTTATCTCTGCTTACCCTAAGCGGAAAATGCTCATCTTCGAACTCCATCAAGGCATTGACCTAATCAACACATACACCAAGTTTGAACATTCTAGCCCAATTAGGAAGAGAGTTATCGTGTCCCAAAGCATCAACCAATCAAATTGCTTATCTCTGCTTACCCTAAGCGGAAAATGCTCATCTTCGAACTCCATCAAGGCATTGACCTAATAAACACATACACCAAGTTTGAACATTCTAGCTCAATTAGGAAGAGAGTTATTGTGTCCCAAAAAGTGTGACGGACAGACAGACGGACAGACAGACGGACGAACCCATTTTAATAGTCCCCTGCTTTCTTCGAAAGGCGGGGGACAATAAGATAAAAAACATAGTCTTGATTATTCATTTCATGATTTAATTATGAACCTAATCCAATAAACATCGCAGGATAAGCGATGCCATCGAGAGTTGATTATGGTCTTTCCGTGTTAATTAATGTCTAATTAATAATTTAGATAACATTTCAGGCCTACAGAAAGACCTGCAATAGGCAGATTTAGCTCTTAAACATATTGGTCTTTGAACTGTCAAGGCCATGAGAACTGTTAATTAGACAGTAAAGTCAGAAGTCAAAGCAACGGTCTACTTAGATGATTTCTCAACTATTGGGTATATAATCATATTAGCAATTTTAGTTAAAGAAATGTTACTGCAGGGGAAATTCATGATGAAGCTATACAAATGCCAAAAGGACTTGAAGTTCTGTGCGATTGCCTAATTTTTAAGCCTTAGGGGCAACATGATAAAATTCTACTAAGAGCTTAACAGAGTTATTTCCGATAAACTTGGTAATTTAGCAGATGGACGTATATTGTTTGATTTATATAGTCAGTGTTATAAAGTCAAGATAGTTTTTAATACTTGTAGATTGTGGTGTATATATTGATATATTCAGATATCTAGAAGTTTTGTTATTTCCCATATTGAGATGTCTAATGAGTAGCTGTGCAAAGTGGATTCATACATTTGCTTTATATTTTCCTTTTTATTTTGGATTTTCATCTATTTCTTTATTGTTCAGTGCCATCTCAAGCACATTTAAATACCAAAATATAGGCTATAGCTGTTGTGAATGTGGGATTTAACAATGTCCTACTGTTCTGCTCCGACTGGGCTAATAAAAACGGGCATACACCATACAGTATGTAATGCGGGGAAATTTTGACCGGGCAGCGGCATTATGGCCTACTCTTATATCGAATTCCAACTGCCAATGTGTACACAGGGTCTCAATTTTTGTCCCATCCTAATAACTAGACAGCTGTCCTGCACCACTGACAAGGGGAAACGAGAGAGAGAGAGAAATGGGGCTTAACGTCCACTCGACACAAACTAGGTCATTTCGGGACTAACATATGGTTTAATTTTATTTCAATAATTCGCTTGCGCATAGGGGTCTTTAGCAGTGGGGGGGAAACCGGAGGACCCGGAGAAAACCCACGAGGTTGGACAGTTGTTGGAGTTGTTGTGAATGACATCAATGTTAGCAATGTCAAAATTTTATTAACCATTCATTTTATTTAAAGACCAGCGGCTGCAGGCCACGAAATTTCACGCGAATGATACCAATCGGTTACGTGCGGTAGCGCCAGCTCAAAAACACGCGACCGATTTCCTGGTTACGCAAATTTAATTAAACATATGGTTTAATTTTATTTCAATAATTCGCTTGCGCATAGGGGTCTTTAGCAGTGGTAAGAAACCGGAGGACCCGGAGAAAACCCACGAGGTTGGACAGTTGTTGGAGTTGTTGTGAATGACATCAATGTTAGCAATGTCAAAATTTTATTAACCATTCATTTTATTTAAAGACCAGCGGCTGCAGGCCACGAAATTTCACGCTAACGATACCAATCGGTTACGTGCGGTCGCGCCAGCTCAAAAACACGCAACCGATTTCCTGGTTAGGCAAATTTAAATATCGGTTACATTAACAAATTCCATTAACAAATTTATTCACATTTGATCAATTTTTATACAGGATGACTTTGTGACACGTGCAGTCTAAATTATTTGTATTATAGCACAAACTCCATTCATTCATTCTTGGCATTTCATTTCTCCATCTTACCAGTACTTTGACAGATCACGTATTTTGACACCACGTAGTAGGCTATTGACCAGTTGCAAGCACGTTGATTTAAAAATGCCTCCCGCCCCTAATTCTTTAAATGATTAATTATGCCTTAAATATTTGAAAGCGTACCTTTGGATTTTCAAACACAAAATGAGAAATCAGTTTGACTATTTAACATGTCAGCTATATTTTAAAAGAATTTACTGCACGTTCTCCTGTCAGTTTTCAGTATAGCCATGCCAATGACCCATATGTATGTCGTCAACTTTGACCCAATCTGGCATCGCTCGAGCGATAGTGTGAACGATTTTACTTTCCTGTCTATTTTGATATTATTTCATGACATCAAACTATTCTGTTTCCTTTTGAGACTTTGTGTATAGAGTGCCAAGGTTATTAAATACTGTTTGGCAATCAGTCGCTACCTATGAGTGATGCTACGTGCTTGGATGAATGATTGCAAATGACAAGTGTAATATGAAGTTCGCATGCAGTCGTCAGTGACTGAAAACTATGTGGTAACTACCATTCCTGGTTTTTAAAGGTCAGATATGATATAAAAACGAAAATCCATTAGTAATTTTTGGAACTGATTCCCCTCTGCAACCGAACCGTGACCAATTAACTGAGTAGCCATCATTTACGTACATCAGCCGCTTGATGTTTGAAAAAGCCGATTGATAGAAGAATTATTAAAATATAGGGATTTAGTGAAGTGGAACAATTTTTTCTATTATTAAATGAATAATAGCACAATTTAGATCTGGATAAAACATGAAAATAGGGCAACCATTTTATGTAACCAATTGGTTACGCAATGGTCATCTGGCGTAACCCCAAAAAATGGTTACGCAGAGCATAAACCTGCAACCATTTTTCTGGTTACGCCAAAATTTGAAATTTCTAGCCTGCGGCTGCCAGGCAGGATACGCCCACATTTTGCAAGAGATGGATAGAGAACAAGCTAAAAACAAAAAAGGAGTTTTTGTACAATCAGGGGTCATAATTATGGTCTGAAATGCGCAAATATCAAAAGGGACAGATTTTTGGAATATAAAGATATGTTTTAAGTTCCATTTAGAGGGTCCATAACCTTTGAATTACATACTTATATACAATTCGGCCATTTTGTCGGCAGTTTCATTTCGATTTTCCCAAAATTCCAATTCAACCTTCATTATGGTGGAATAGTGATCTAAATGGTTTTTAAAATTGAAAAAAAAATTGTGACCTCTAGAGAATCCACAAGCTAAAAATGTGATTTTTCGACCAATCAGGGACCATAATTCATGAAGTTATGATCCGATATGTGCGATAATCAAAAGGAACCAAGATCTTTGGGTTATAAAACATGCATTTAAAGTTTCATCAAAATCGGATCAAAATTGTGACCTCTAGAGTGTCCACAAAACGAGTATTTCGTACAATCAGGGCCCATAATCCATGAAGTTATGGTTCGATAAATGCCAATATCGAAAGGAACCAAGATCTTAAGGAGATAAACCTACATTTCAAGTTTCGTTCAAATTGGATAAAAATTGTGACCTGTGAGAGTGTCCACAAACAAATTGTGGACGGACGGACAAACAGGGGTGAGGGCATAATACGTCCACATGAAAATATGGGCGTATAAAAAACAACTAGCTTTCTTTTTAACACAGATTCTTGATTGACATGCTGGTTGTTGAACATGTAGGCATGTAAAAATCACCTAGAATGTCTACAGAGCAATTTAAAGTTGTCCTATCATAGTTGATAAACTTCTTAACTCTAAATTACATAATTTTTCCATTTCAATAGAAACAGATCCTAAGTATGTGATGTCAAATACTTAGAGCTATGTACAAACCTGTACTTAAATACAAAATTTATGAGGTTTAGTCACACTTAATTTTTTTTAAAAACTTTGTACATAATTTTTTTTAAAAACTTTGTACATAATTTTTTTTAAAAACTTTGTACATAATTTATGTTTACTTGGACAAACTAATTTGAAGGTTTGTTCTTTTTGAACAGCTATTAAAAATTTTACTTCCTAGAAAAAAAACTAATATAAAAACTTGCAAAATACACCCACATTTTGCAAGCGATTTCTCGTTCAGTTTCGGTCTGATTTTTACGAAATTCAAACACAACCATCATTATGGTGGAACGGTGATATATTTAAACGCTTTTAAAATCGGATAAAAATTGTGACCTTTAGGGAGGTCGGGTGTTCGATCCCTGCATTGGCCGAGAAAGTTCATCCAGATTTTCCGGCGTGGTTCTCCCTTGTCAGTGATGCAGGACGGAGGGGCTGACAAGGAAAGCTGTCTAGTCGTTCGGATGGGACGAAAAACCGAGGTCCCGTGTACACATTGGCGTGCACGTAAAAGATCCCTTGGCAGTTGGAATTTGATATAAGAGTAGGCCGTAGTGCCGCTGTCCGGGCAAAATTTCCCTCATAGCACACTGTATGGCGTATGCCCGTCTTCATTAGCCCAGGTTAGGAGCAGAACAGTAGGACGTTAAACCCCATTTCATTTCATTTCATTTCATTTCATGTGACCTTTAGAGGGTCCACAAGCTAAAAACGTGATTTTTCGTACAATGAGGGGCCATAATCCATGAAGTTATGGTCTGATACTTGCCAATATCAAAAGGAACCAAGATCATAGGGAGATAACCCTATATTTCAAGTTTCGTTCAAATCGGATAAAAATTGTGACCTGTAGAATGTCCATAAATTGTGGACGGACAGACAGATGGACAGGGGCGACGACAATATACGTCCACATGAAAGTGTGGGCGTATAAAAATTATATTGTTTTGGATTTAATGAGAACTTCAACTCACCATATTCTATAACAGCTTTAGGTAGAGAGGAAATCTTCCATCTATGTAAAGAACAATCAAACCCTCCACTCATTACTTCATCTGGATCGAGACCACTCCATAAAACTCCTAATATTCTACCTTGATGTTCGTCATATTTTACTAAAGCTGTTCCTGTTTTTACATTCCATACCTACACATGTATATAAACCATACACAGTTAAACATACATTATGCAAGAGCTAAATCTGCCTATTTCAGATCTTTCTTTAGGCCTGAAATGTTATCTAAATTATTAATTAGACATTAATTAACTTATCCAGACCATAATCAACTCTAGATGGCAGCGCTAGCCTGCGATCTTTAGTGGATTGTAAGCCGATTTACTCCATAACTTTCCTTCTCGATTAAACGATTAAACGGATAATCGAGACTATGCTGTTTATCGTACTGACTTTAGTAATGATGACCGAGGCTTATGGGAATTTCAGTCGCTTAGTTCTCGGTTCATAGTAGATCAATTTGAATGAAATTTTCACCAAATTGCCTTTACATTATGTAGTTTTTAACTATTATAGTGAGAACTGCCAACTCGTTACCGTATCTCCCATAATTTATCTTTAATATCTCTTAGTTTAAACCAGGGTGTTGGGTGGAGAGTGATTTAACATGGGTCGTATGGATCCTAATGTTTGGAGAGAGAGAAAGAGGAAACTGGGGGTTAACGTCCACTCGAAACAAACTAGGTCATTTCGGGACTAATATAGTGTTCAATTTTTATTTCAATAGTTCGCTTGCGTGTAGGGGTCTTTAGCAGTGGGAGGAAACCAGAGGACCTGGAGAAAACCCACGACCCTCGGGATAAAGAAGCAGGGCACCATGAGTGAAATTTCACCCAGACAGTGATTTACCATCTATTTGTTATTGGATTTTAACTGTCAGAGTTTTTAATTATGTATATGAGAATAGTGGACCTTGGTTATTCATCCCAATTGAATTGCTAAGAGGTTTTGTTCCTTGCCAGGCCCTTTCGTCCTGCGTCACTAATAAAGGTCAAACCGGAAAGGTAAATCACGAGAAATTTCTAGGCCAACAACTGTATTGAAACCCAGGACCTTTTGATTAATGAAATGAAATGATATGAAATGGGGTTTAACATCCTACTGTTCTACTCAGGCTGGGCTAGTAGAGATAGGCATACACCATACAGTGTGCTATGAGGGAAATTCACCAGGGCAGCGGCACACTTATATCAAATTCCAACTGCTAAGGGATTTTGGTTTCCGTCCCATCTGAACCACTAAGACAGCTGGTCCTTGTCAGGATTCATCTTCAAGGGAACTTGTTAATACGACAAAACTAAATCCCCACCAACAATATACCTAAATTGACTTTAAATATAAACACATCAGAGAGAGATGGGGTTTAACATCCACTCGACACAAACTAGGTCATTTCGGGACTAACATATGGTTCAATTTTATTTCTATAATTCGCTTGCGCATAGGGGTCTTTAGCAGTGGGAGGAAACCAGAGGACCCGGAGAAAACACACGAGGATGCACAGGCGACCCTACTTCTTGTCACGTCCAACCACGCCAGTCGACTCAATGACAGACACTATGATACAGCGCGCACACCGGGGAATCGAAACCCCGCCAGTTGAATCAATGACAGGCTTTATAATACAGCACGCACATGCTAACCCCCCCCCACCCCCCACCCGTAACTCATAAGCAGTTGTGAAGAACATGATGAAAATGGAAACTGTTTACATCAGACAGATGATACCATGATTTATTAGACCATCCAGCTCTCCCCAGAGGTTGAGATGGCCTAGTGATCTAGAGTGTCACGCTTTGACCTCTAGCTGACCGGTCACCTGACTTGCGGTTGTGGTTTCGATCTCTGGTGTGAGCGTATGTGGCTTGAAGATAGGGGAGCTTTCTCAACCTCATGGGTTCACTATGGGTACTCCGATTTCTCCTCCCACTTGCGCTAAGATAATAACCAGCGGCTGCCAGGCAGGATACACCCACATTTTCGAGAGATGGATAGAAAACAAGCTAAAACGAAAGTGATTTTTCCTACAATCAAGGGCCATAATTCAGGAAATTACAATTCGATATGCGCAAATATCGAAAGGAACCAAGATCTTTGAGTTATAAACTTACATTTCAAGTCTCAACAAAATCGGATAAAAATTGTGACCTCTATAGGGTCCACAACCTTGATATACCATATTTTTACGCAATTTGAGAACTAGGGGCGGCCATTTTGTCTGTCAGTTTTGGGCTGATTTTCACGAAATTCGAACTCAGTCGTCCTTAGGGTGTAACGGTGATATAATAATACGTTTCTTTAAATCGGATAAAAATTATGACCTCTATAGGGTTCACAAGCTAAAAACGCGATTTGTCATACAATAAGGGGCCATAATTCATGAAGTTACGGTCCGATATGCGCGAATATGAAAAGGAACCGAGATCTTTGTGTTATCAAGTTTCAACAAAATCGGATAAAAATTGTGACCTCTACAGGGTCTACAACCTTGATATACCATATTTTTACGCTATTTGAGAACGAACGGCAGCCATTTTGGCTGTCAGTTTTGGGCTGATTTTCACGAAATTCGAACTGAACCGTCCTTAGGGTTAAACGGTAATATGATAATACGTTTTTTTAAATCAGATAAAAATATAGACATCTATAGGGTCCACAAGCCAAAAAACGCGTTTTTGCGTACAATCAGGGGCCATAATTCATTAAGTTACGGTCCGATATGAGCGAATATAGAAAGGAATCGAGATCTTTGTGTTATAAACTTACATTTCAAGTTTCAACAAAATCGGATAAAAATTGTGACCTCTATAGGGTCTACAACCTATTTGAGAACGAATGGCGGCCATTTTGTCTGTCAGTTTTGGGCCGATTTCCACGAAATACGAACTCAACCGTCCTTAGGGTTTAACGGTGATATAATAATACAATTTTTTAAATAAAGATTGGGACATATTACAGGGGCGGATCTAGGAATTTTGAAAAGGGGGGGCGCCGCAAAATGAGGGCACTGACCGCGGAGACGGGGCACGCCGCTGAGAGGCAATTTGGGGGGGGGGGGGGTCCCAAGAAAATTATCCGGCATTTCCTTGCATCTGTAGCCATTCCAAGAGCTATTTGGCTGATATTTTCGTCTAAGTAAACGTTCGGAAATCGTTGAAAAAGAGCCTTAAAATCGAGCAAAAAAGCCAGTTGAACATGCGACTCGAAAATTGTCAAGGCGAGCGAGGCATTATGGGAAAAAAGACGAATCTATTCCCTAGCCACTTCACTATTTAGGCCTTGTAACTTGTACTTTGTACTGTCCACACATGAAACAATGCTACACCAAGTTGCACTCATGCGCGTCGGTGATGGGCATGAGTGTATACCCCGCCGATTCCACAAGATGTCTGTCTATAGTCACTCTGTAGGATTAGGGCACCGTCAGCTAAACAACAAGAATTCGTTTGAAAGTGGAAGCATTAATTAGACCAGACTGGTGTGTTTGAATCGATGGTTTGAGTCATTTGGGATCCCTGCAACGTGTTGGGAACAGACATATTTGGGTCTGAGAAAGGGCACTTTCAGCAGTAAAAAAAGGGCACTGTCGAAAATTAGGGGGGGCGCGCACCCCTCGCGCCCCCCCTTAAATCCGCCTCTGTATTATTCAGTTACAACAAGAGTGGTATTGAGCCTTTAATAAAATGAAAACTAGTAGAAGCTGAAGTTAAAAGTTAAACACTAAGAACAACAGATAGAGAGAGAGAGAAATGAGGTTTAACGTCCACTCGACACAAACTAGGTCATTTCGGGACTAACAAATGGTTCAATTTTATTTCAATAATTCGCTTGCGCATAGGATGACCTGGAGAAAATCCACGAGGTTGGACAGGCGACCCTACTCCTTGTCACGTACAACCTGGGAATCAAAACCCTGCCAATTGACTCAATCGGCCATCCACCCCCCCCAAGAACAAGAACAACCCAGCCCCCTCGATTGAGTATAAAGAGTAGTGTTAGTGATCATCAAACTAGGAATTAACTTACAATAAGACTGGAATCATAACCACAAGAACAACTGAGCCCCCTCAATTGAGTATAAAGAGTAGTGTTAGTGGTGATCAAACTAGGAATTAACTTACAATAAGACTGGGATCATAACCACAAGAACAACCCAGTACCCCCCCCCCCCCCCCCCCCCCGCCCAATTCAGTATAAGGAGTAGAGTTAGTGATTATCAAACTAGGTAATAATAACTTACAATAACACTGGAATCATAACCACCCAGCACCCCCCACCCCACCCTGATTGAGTATAAAGAGTAGAGAAATAACTTACAATAACACTGGAATCATAACCACATGAAGCTATTCTGCCATCTATATGTGGACTCCATGATAAACCTGTTACACGTATTGAATGACCATCTAATTTTCTCATACTTTCAATAATAGTCACTGGTTTATCCACTGGTATATCTATATAAAACAATAAAATACACCTGTCACAATATAATAGTCACTGGTTTATCCACTGGTATATCTATATAAAACAATAAAATAACAACACCTGTCACAATATAATAGTCACTGGTTTATCCACTGGTATATCTATATAAAACAATAAAATAACAACACCTGTCACAATATAATAGTCACTGGTTTATCCACTGGTATATCTATATAAAACAATAAAATACACCTGTCACAATAAAAAATAACAACACCTGTCACAATATAATAGTCACTGGTTTATCCACTGGTCACAATATATTCAGATGAGAGGAGCTACTACGACAAGATGGTATCATTCAACAATGGCCTTTCAATGGGCAATGTTTTGTTAAATTTATTAGTAAAACGGTGACCGCTGGATGCGTTAGAGAAGCGACGTTGATTAAAGAGATCAAACAATAGGATTTCTACTGGACGGGGTGGGGGTGGGAAATTTATTGTGACCGCTGAATAGGAAATTAAATGGGTTTTAATGTCCTACTGTTCTTCTCCAGCTAGGCTAATGAAGATGGACATATACCATGCAGTGTGCTATGATGGAAATTTTGCCCAGACAGCGGCACTACAGCCAACGTGCACGCCAATGTGTACATGAGACCTTAGTTTTCCGTCCCATCCAAACGACTAGATAACTGTCCTTGTCAGGCCCTCCAGGCTAGCTAGCCAGCGTCTTACCCACTTAGTCACCTTGGCTGCCCTCATTGAATAAGAGTGGCTGCTGTATATGAATACGTACCGGAGAGATCGACAATATGAACCATGGCATCATTAGCCCCAGAAGCTAACCAACTATTACATGTAGAGATAGCAGGTCCACCTTGTGTTGTGATATGTGGGTGCCATTGTAAACAGTTTATTAGTTTTCTATGTACTTGTATGACACATCGTAGTTTAAAATCAGCCCAATATACATCCACTGATCTTTAAAAACAAAAAAAACTTTTCATTTGAAATTTAAATAAAATCAAGCAACCCATACAGAAAAATACAGCCTTAGAGAGAGGGAGAGAGAGAGGGGATTAACGTCCGCTCGACACAAAATAGGTAATTTCGGGATTAACATATGGTCCTTTAGCAGTGGGAGGAAATATGAGGTAGGACAGGCAACCCTACTCCTTGTCACGTACAACCAGGCAATCGAAACCATGCCAGTTGACTCAATGACAGACCTTATGATACTGCGCGTCAGCGATAACCTTTCAGCCAACCAACCCTCCTACAGCGTTAGAGAAGCAGATTATATTTTATAAAAATTCACATTGATTACTATAGTATTATGACCTTGGCTTGGTTTCACGAAATTTTAACTAAAGATAAAATCCAAATTTTTGTATATACTTCAGTTTTGATTGGTCAAGCCTTAAAATCAATCTAATATTATCCAATCAAATTACTAAAATTTGGATTTTATCTTAGTTAAAATTTCGTGAAACAGGCCCCAGGTAGTATTCGACACTTAAATAGGAGGTGTCCATATATTACAAGGTAGTATTCACACTGGGCAATTTGATGTTGAAACAATGGGGTGGGCGGGCGTTAATCTTTTTTTAAAATGGAATACTGGGAAATTTCTGGTAACAAAAAAATCTACTGAAACACTAGATTTTGTCATGGGTTTTTATTAAATGTAAAAGTTTGTCATATTTCTTAATAATACATTAATCACATATGTACATTCTACCATAATTTCATGCGACATCATATTTTCTAATTGCATAATTTTCACCAGTGGCCAGTGCAATCTAAAATTTCCTTATTATCTTAACGCCAATTGTCCTGCGAAATTTAAAGCTGATACAAGCAAAGAAATATTACATACCCATCCTCGTTTCCAATAGCAACAAGAGAATAATCAGGCTTCCATGATATATCACTTCTAATCAACTGGCTTCCCTAAAAAAAAACAAGGAAATGAAATGAAATGAAATGAAATGGGGTTTAACGTCCTACTGTTCAAAAACAGAATATTATAACCATGGTTGCACATGAAGATACCTATCAAGTACATGAGTAACTACTTCAGATTCAATTTGTTGCATCTAATGTTTACTATTTTGTGAAATGTAATATATCTAAGATACAGTTATCACAAAATTTGTTAATTTTACATCTAGTAGTAGCAGGTGGTTTATCAATCTGCTTAAAATTAATTCATGGATTTTTTTCACAAACATGGATAAATGTTATCGAATACATCACAATCTGATTAAAATACACATCTATATTTCTTTTCGTTAGTTTTATTCTTTCGATGGGCTCTACTACATGAAGATCTGACCTGTTGTAGTGGGATGTCATGTCAGGGGACATATGAGTGACTTTGGACAGTTGATGTCAGACAGTTGATTAATCAATCAGCGTTGATGTTTCACATTGCACACCAAGAACTCACTGCAACAGACTGTTTCATTCGAAACGTCGCCTAAATAAATCAGTAGCTGTTTTCTATAAGTATGTTTATAGTCTATTTATCTGCCCGGTTACTAAATAAATCAGTAGCTGTTTTCTATAAGTATGTTTATAGTCTATTTATCTGCCCGGTTACTAAATAAATCAGTAGCTGTTTTCTATAAGTATGTTTATAGTCTATTTATCTGCCCGGTTACTAAATGCTACTTAAAGAATAGGTGATTCTATTGATATTTTTAATATGCTATCATTTATTTTTATTAAAGACTTACAGGTGTTTTCTTGCCATTAACTGTTTCTATAAGTTTATTTATTTGTGTAGCTTCTTGTTGTAAAGATTTGGGATGATGTTCTAGTATAATACCATCACCAACTGTATATAAACTAAAATTACTCTTATTTTCTTCTGTAAAAATAATAAAACATAATGACCACATCAGCATAATTATTCGAGCAATCCTCATAAATCATTTGTAGGTAATGGCAAGGTTTACAAGACACTAGGTGGATCACGTGGCTAAGTGGGTAAGACGCTGGCTCGCTAGCCTGGAGGTCGGGTGTTCGATCCCTGCATTGGCCGAGAAAGTTCATCCAGGTTTTCCGGCGTGGTTCCCCCTTGTCAGTGATGCAGGACGGAGGGCCTGACAAGGACAGCTGTCTAGTCCTTCGGATGAGACGAAAAACCGAGGTCCCGTGTACACATTGGAATGCACGTAAAAGATCCCTTGGCAGTTGGAATTCGATATAAGAGTAGGCGATAGTGCCGCTGTCCGGGCAAAATTTCCCTCATAGCACACTGTATGGCGTATGCCCGTCTTCATTAGCCCAGCATAGGAGCAGAACAGTAGGACGTTAAACCCCATTTCATTTCATTTACAAGACACTAGAAGAACAATCCATTGAGTGAGTGAGAGAGAGAGAAGAGAGAGAAAGAGAGATGTGGTTTAACCTCCACTCGACACAAACTAGGTCATTTCTGGACTAACATGGTTTAATTTTATTTCAATAATTTGCTAGCGCGTAGGGGTCTTTAGCAGTGGGAGGAAACCGAAGGACCCGGAGAAAACCCACGAGGTTGGACAGGCGACTCTACTCCTTGTCACGTACAACCCGAGATTTGAAACCACGCCAGTTGACGCAATGACAGATCTTATGATACAGTGCGCATGTGCCATCCCCCCCCCCCCCCCCGACACTAAAAGAACAACAAATGGAGTAATTATATGCAACAATTAACTAAATTTAATTGACTTAAAGTTTTTCCTAGTGCTAATAATATGATATTTTTCACAATGTCAAATTGATTATACGAGACGATTTTACTGATGTTACTATATAAATTACCTGTACGCTTAGATGGTGGTCCCCACACTACAACATAAACTGTCTTTCTATGGAAAGTTCCTGACAGCAACGGCGGTCTGAGAAAAAAAAACAAAAAAAAACCCCAAATGTCATCATCTCAGACACAGAATATTCAATATGTTCATGGATTATTATTTTTACAACCAGGAAAATATAAAAAAATATTTAATTCTGTTTAAAAGTCTTACATTACAGACAGATGTCATCTTTCGTGCACACCCACTATAAACAAGTCTGTTTTTCATGCAGCATGTTTTGTCAGTTTAATGGAATAAAAGCAAAAAGCTAAATAGAAAGTACGTAGAGTTGTTAGAAATTGTTTTCATAACTGCAATCATATGCTATTACTGATCCTGACAAGCCAACACTAAGTTTCATCACACTCCATTAGTTAGAATCAAAGTTATCTTGTCCCAAAGCATCGACTAATGAAATTGTTTAGCTCTGCTTAGCTTTAGCAGGATACGTTAATCATTGAACTCAGTCAAGACATTCACCTAATGAAAGTTTAAACATTCTACTTCAGTTAAAAGCATCACATCGCTAGCCTGCAATATTTACTGTATTATGATCCCATTTGCTGCTCGACTTCAATTCATAATTTAATCATGAAATGGATAATCGAGACTGTTCTTTATCGTACAGACTTTAGTAATGATGATCAAGGCTAGGCCGAAATTTCAATCGCTTAATTCTCGGTTCATAGTGGATCAATTTGACTGAAATTTTCAGCACATTCCCTTTACATTATCTAGTTTTTAACTATTATAGTGAGAACTGCCAGCTCTTTTTCTTATCTGCCATAATGTATGTTTAATAAATATATGAATATATAATATGGTCGTTAAACAGGAATCACCCTGTCTTTATTAGCCCAGTAGGTGCTGAACAGGAGGACATTAAAACTTATTTCATTTTTTTATTAAATAATTCAGAGATAAAGATAATGATTTACTTACTTTTGTGAAAAGATGTCATAAATCCCTACACGTCCATCATCTGTACCATATGCTAACCAACCTTCTTTACTAGGATGCCAGTTTAACTGTGGGAGAGATAATCATAGAAATCATGATACTTTACTAGGATGCCAGTTTAACCATAGAAATCATGACATTTTACTAGGATGCCAGTTTAACCATATAAATCATGATACTTTACTAGGATGCCAGTTTAACCATAGAAATCATGATACTTTACTAGGATGCCAGTTTAACTGTGGGAGAGATAATCATAGAAATCATGATACTTTACTAGGATGCTAGTTTAACCATAGAAATCATGACATTTTACTAGGATGCCAGTTTAACTGTGGGAGAGATAATCATAGAAATCATGATACTTTACTAGGATGCTAGTTTAACCATAGAAATCATGACATTTTACTAGGATGCCAGTTTAACCATATAAATCATGATACTTTACTAGGATGCTAGTTTAACCATAGAAATCATGATACTTTACTAGGATGCCAGTTTAACCATATAAATCATGACATTTTACTAGGATGCCAGTTTAACCATAAAAATCATGACATTTTACTAGGATGCCAGTTTAACTGTGAGATCTGTGAGATAAATAATCATAGAAATAGGAAATATGTTGCATGTAGCTTCGACGTCCACTCGACACAAACTAGGTCATTTGGGGACTAACATATGGTTCAATTTTATTTCAATATTTTGCTTACCCGTAGAGGTCTTTAGCAGTTGGAGCAAAACCAGAGGACCCTGAGAAAACCCATAAGGGTGGACAGGAGACCCTACTCCTTGTCACGTACAACCAGGGAATCAAAACCACACCAGTTGACTCAATGACATAGCTTATGATATAGCATGCACATGCTAACCATCATATTTACAAAGTATTCGCTCAAAATGTGGATGATCTATATTGCTGAACAATAGATTTGGAATACTTGATTTTCATAATTTTTCGGTAATCAAGTTTCATTAATCTCTAGCATTTATTTTTATAATTCTGACGAGGTCATGTATTTTTCTCCCAACAGATTACGTAATTTCTGTGTTTTGTTTTTTTTGGGGGGTGTGGGGGGGTGGTGGTGGTTGTTTTAATGCGATAGTTGAATTAACAAGCAGTACTTTGTATCTGATTGGCTTTATTTCCGAAGATCATATATGAAATAAGAATGGTTAATACTTGCCTGTTATTAATCATTTAAATATTTTGATAAACAAAAACTACTTACACAGGTAACTTTAGATTTAATCCCCTGCCAAAGGGTCTGTACGTCAAATATATTAGATTTATTGTTAGTATTCCATACTCTGATCATAGAATCTCCAACACCAATAGCTAAACGACCTGTATAGAACAAGAAATGAAATAAAATGTGGCTTAACGTTCTACTGTTCTGCTCCGACTGAGCTAATGAAGACAGGCATGTGCCATACAGTTTGTATGAAATTTTGCCAGGACAGCGGCGCTATGGCCTACTCTTATATCGAATTCCATCTGCCAAGGGATCTTTTACGTGCACGCCAATGTGTACACGGGACATCGTTTTTTGTCCCATCCGAACGACTAGACAGCTGACCTTGTCAGGCCCTCCGTTCTGCACCACTGACAAGGGGAAACCACATCAGAAAATCCTGATGAACTTTCTCGGCCAATGCAGGGATCGAACACGCGACCTCCAGGATAGGGAGCTAGCGAGCCAGCGTCTTACCCATAATATAAACAAGTTCGCAATTGGTGAGGAATGCATACAAAGGAACTGCATTATTTTAACGTCAAGTTTCTTATTTTCCTTAAAAATACTTACATATGTACATTCTACCAAGATAATTTCATGTGGCATTATTTTTTTAAAAATAAAAATAAAGAGAGAAATCCAAAAGCAGTAAAATAACAAACTTTAGTCGCATAATTTTTTCTTAATGTCGAATTAAAAATCATCCATGCGCTGTATTTTCCACGAGCGAGCGGTGCCCAAGAACTTATTCATTTTATTTGTGTGACCTTACATTCATTAAAATTACAGTTCCAGTTTTAGATATTTACTCTTATCAACATTAAATATTTAAATTTAAAAAACACTTATGTAACAAATCTGTTTTTAATGACAAAACCACCTGAATTTTCCCTAAACATTTTGAAAGATATAAATGGGAGGCAACTCTTCCATTTATCTTTATTTTCTCCCCTTACACAAAAATGTAATGAACTATTGTTAAAAACCACCATGGGATGTTCTAACTCTAGACTGATTGAAAGTTATTGTGGGGTGCTCGACTGTTAGTCTGGAATGTCCCGAATTGACAGAATTCCAATCAAGTGATACGGAATTCAGCCCAATCACAGTTCTGTCAGTCCTGACAGCTGAGGTGGTGTTTGTAGAATCGTGACGTATTTTGAGTAACAATTATGTTTTAGCCATCTTGATTGGTTGAGATATTTTTTATGCAGTCGGCACATGCGTTGTACTCCGAAATTCTCCCTTTCACTCGATTGATACTATTTTTGGAATTGAGACAATTTAATTATGAAATGAAATGAAATGGGGTTTAACGTCCTACAGTTCTGCTCCTATACTGGGCTAATGAAGACGGGCATACGCCATACAGTGTGCTATGAGGGGAATTTTGCCCGGGCAGCGGCACTATCGCCTACTCTTATATCGAATTCCAACTGCCAAGGGATCTTTTACGTGCATTCCAATGTTTACACAGGACCTCGGAAAATCCAGATGAACTTTCTCGGCCAATGCAGGGATCGAACAAATTTAATTATGGAACGTTTAATGGAGTATCCCTGGGATATAAATTTGTAAAAAAAGAGTTACCTGGATCAACGGGAGATGATTTAACTGTATACATATAACCACCTAGAGTTGGTACAGCACATACGCACGACACGGTCTTCATGTTCCATACACCTAGCTACAATTAAAATAAATATAATGGGGTTTAATGTGCTCCTTTTCTAAACCAATAGGGATTTCACATAACTCTTCATTGAATTTCATTAATCAAGGGTTTATTTACATGCAGTCACCGTGTACATCTGACTACATACTGTTTCTTGACAGGCCCGCTGTCCTGTATCAATGAGAGAGAGTTAACTCCACTCCACACAAACTAGGTCACTTCAGGACTAATATATGGTTCAATTTTATTTCAAAAATTCACTTGCGCATAGGGGTCTTTAGCAGTGGGAGGTAAACCGGAGGATGAGCAGAAAACTCACTAGGTTGGACATGCGACCCTACTCCTTGTCTCTACAACCGGCAAATCAAAACCACACCAGTTAACTCAATGACAGACCTTACGATACAACACGCACGCGCTAATCATTCGGCCATCCAACCCCCCTTGTCTCCAAGTCGATTGAAACTAATAATGATCTTGACAAAACAGCGTCTGCAATGTACATGGTAATTGGCTTTCACGATATACAATTTCAGGATTAACTTATGGGAAATGCTTTTTCAATCCACATTTTACAATTCAAAGATGAAGGTAATGTTTACCCCTCATCAAACTGCAAAATATACAGGATTCTCTGTATTTACTTAGACCCTGTATACACAGGTGGTGTTATTTTCTTAAAACCAATATTCATTGTAGTCAAAGCAGAGATAATTTGAGCTGGAGCCATCGCAATTAAAAACTTTATAAAATTATAAATGAACTTGGTCATTGTTCTTAGCATTTTATTATCAGTTATTAACTTTCCAAGCGATCCATGGAAATTGTGAAGAGTAAATTATTATCAACGCCACCACAAAAAATATTATTAACTTACCAAGCGATCCATGGAAATAGTGAAGAGTAAATTATTATCAACGCCACCACAACAAATATTAAATACAACACGCGTATGACATTTTCCCTCAGAAGCAGAAAAAATCTGCATGGATTTCTCAGCAGACGGCTGTAAGTCCCATAGTAGTAAATCACCACTGAAAAGAAATAAAGTAGCTCAGATGTTTAAAGATGTATGTATGTAAGAGCTTACTCTGCCTATTGCAGGTCTTTATCCCGGCTTCAAATTATTATTTCAACATTAACGGGGTATTATAGGAAGATTAGATAAAGAGTTGACAGTTCTCGGTATAATTTTTAAAAAAAGATAGAGTAAAGAGAATATGCTGAGCTAAATCTGTCTATTGCACGTCTTTCTTTAGGCCTAAAAAGTTATCTAAATTATTAATTAGACATTAATTAACCTATCCAGACCAAAATCAACTCTCGAAGTCATCACTAACCTGCGAAATTTACTGGATTAGGATTCGATCTGCTGCTCAACGCTCATTCATGATTAACTCAAACAATGGATAATCGAGAGACTATGTTTTTTATCGTACCGACTTTAGTAATGATGATCGAGGCTAGACCCAAAATTCAATCACTAAATTCTCGGTTCAGAGTGGATCAATTTGACTGAAATTTTCAGCATATTCCTTTTACATTATGTAGTTTTTAACTATTATAGTGAGAATTGCCAGCTCTTTATCTAATCTCCCATAATGTATCTTTAAATTACTGTGTGGGCATAAAAATTAAAGTTTGATGCGTACCCATGTGAACTAGAAATTAGTTGGTGCCATTTCTCCTTCCTCCAACATAAACTCAACCAAACTTTGTTTCTTCCATCCTCTCTCTGTTCACGTTTAAATCCTGTGTTTACTGGCAACTTTTTCTGGAAGAGTTGTCTACCTTTCTCTGTGCTCCAGAATCGGATAGTTCTATCTCTTGAACCAGTGGCCAAAATAGAACCTGTAAAGACGTATATCAGAATAATATACATTACAATTTTAGTGAGGGAATTTGACAAAGTAATTAGATTAGGTAAAAAAAAAACACATATACATGTTTTTTACAATGTTCTGTTCTATATTCATTCAAGGTAGCATGAAAATTTGTGTAGTCCACATGTAACCTCCAAGGAAGCAAGAAAGAATTACTGTACTGGTTCTGGGCAAAGTTACTGAAAACCAAATCTGAAATGGCGTAAAGGAAATTGGAACTGGCGTGACCGAAACATCGATGCAGTCTTTTTAATTTGGTGCAACTGTGCGTATTTATCGTACACGTGATATTTCAATACCTGTTGTATTGTCATCTTTTTCTTCATTATGAAAGATATTTTCACCAGGTACAGGACACCATGCTATACTATGTATTTCATCATCATGTCCTCGTAACTTGTGTAACACCTTACAATTCTTCGTTATATCCAATAATAAAACTGTTCCGGATTTATATCTATAAACAAATATATATTATTAAAACTGACACAAACTAGGTCATTTCGGGACTAACAAATGGTTCAATTTTATTTCAATAACTCGCTTGCGCATAGGAGATTTAGCAGTGGGAGGAAAGCAGAGGACCCAGAAAAAACTCACGAGGTTGGACAGACGACCCTACTCCTTGTCACCTACAACTGTTGAATCGAAACGACGCCAGTTGACTCAATAAAAGACCTTATGATAAAACTTGCACGCGCTAACCATTCGGTCATCCAAGGCTCAAACACGCGACCTCCAGCCTAGCGAGCCAGTGTCTTACCCACTTATCCACCGTGGCTCCCTGACAAAGTGCTACAAATAGCTTATATTTACACCTACAACTGGTACACAAGACTTACCCAACAGCCAACTGAAACTCTTTATGTGGTGAACAAGCAATACTAAAAACATATTCTTTCTCTTGCTTAAATTTCTGACAGATGTCAGTCTCATACTGCCAACACATTAAATTTCCTCTTTCATCCCCAGTAACAATCAAATCATGCTGTAGACTAGACCAACTACCACAACTGATTTTATCCTAAAAAATATAACATAAAAAAAACATGGTGTAATTTCCTTAAAGATACATTTTTAATTAGAGGTATAATATTCATAATAACACAACTTTATAGATTTACTATGTACAATGTTTCAATACTCTTACGGGTATCTTTGATTGGTTGATAAAGATACCTGTAAGAGTATTGAAACATTGCATGTAATAAACCAAGAAGTAGTAAATCCATAAAGTTGTGTTATGAATGGTGTAATTTGTCAATATTTAACTATCAAAAATAAATTACAGTGTTGCTATCACAGCACAATTTATATTGAAAACAATCACTGTATTACAGACATTATAGCACGTTTCAACAAGTATTCTCTTATCGTTTTCAAGTACAAATGATGCATAAATGCCACTCAAGGATTATATCACAGTGCTATCAAAAAAAAAGAAGAAAAAAATCAAAGTTTTTAAAAATACAAACCAATTTAAAAAATGATTTAAAAGCTTCTAAAAATGAAATGAGATAAATGGAGTTTAACGTCGTACTGTTCTGCTCCGACTGGACTGGGCTAATGTCAAGAGGAGCATACGCCATACAGTGTGCCGAGAGAAATTTTTCAGGACAGCAGCACTACAGCCTACTCTTTTTTCGAAATCCAACTGTCAAGAAATCTTTTACATGCATATCAATGTGTACACGGGACCTCGGTTTCCCGTCCCATCTGAGCAACTATACATTGTCCTTTGCCAGACCATCTGTCCTGCACCACAACAGATTGTTACAATTCTGGCAATGATCAAAAAGATTATAGCTGCAGCAGTATTCTTTCTAACTGAATGATGTACTACAAATCACCATCGACAACCCGATTTTTAAAATTTTTCTCTGAGGGCCCCGGCCACTAGCCAATTCTTGTTACCACCACTTTAATAAGGATTAGAGTTCATGTAAATGCATTGGCATATACAATCTCCCTGATTATGTCTGTCTACTTCATCGTTAACACTGTTCATCATGTGCATTTTGCATACCGATAGTCTATTGGCCAATCATGCTATTTTACCGAGATTTCGCCTAATAGTTTGGATGCAGCTATGGCGGGTGTGACACCAGGCAGGGTAAGCTTACTCTTCCAAACACCTGTCTGTTTGTCGTGTATTTTGTACACGGTGAACAGTCCATATGCTGATTACACTATTTTGCCTTATTACACTATTTTGTCTATACTGTTTTTTTAGGACTTCGAATTTTGTCTAATGGTTTGGATTGTTCGTACTTGGTTTTATTTTATTGGAACAAATTGTTGGACAGATTCTACTAAACTTTCTCTCATTCGTTTTACTTTATCTATGTATGACTAATAATACGTCATCTCTATGAAACAAGTAAACAAATCAAGTGGGTCAATTACTTTATGTTCGGAGTGAAATTTTATAGTTTGTCTGGAAGATGTGTCCCACACTTTGACAGTGCCATCATCGGAAGTACTGCAGCACAGCAACAACGTTTCTTCGGTCTGTCCAAGCAGCACTGTGGAAACTCGGTCTTTATGGTCCGTAAATATGCCAACATATTTTGGTGCGCCGTTTGTTGTTTTGAACATAAAAACATTACTTCGGGCTCCAAAAACATACAGGCCTGAGCGATTTGCATCACTCACTTTACTGCAATACCAGTTAGGAGACGGTGGAATGTTATGTTGAGCCATTCTCAGAAATAATTCAGCATGACAACTTGTTTAACAGTGCGTATAAAACCGTTCATATGCACGTGAATTCGCACATGTACCTCGTCGTTTCGCGCACGAAATTCTGTCAAATTGACCCGGAGCTTTGTCGTAAATATCTTTAATTTACGAATTTTAACTAAATCGATAGAAAAATTGTATCATTTTATTAACAAAACCATTTAATTCAATAAAACTTGCATTGCACTAAATATTTATTTTACAGAGTCTAAAAAATAAGACCGTTACTTTTTCTTTTTATTTACGACAACCGTAAAATTGCAAAATGGCAGCCTCCTGTTGTAAGAAAACGTTTTTGCTTCATTTATGATTTTATCGTAATTCTGTCTCTTTAAAAAATATGTTAGTGCGTTGTGGATGTAAACTTTAGTATGTCCACTTTAATATCAGACATACAAGTCCGAAAATGTGATGGTGTTGTCATTCGTTTGAATCATAGAAATAGTTCCACAATCCACAATCCACAATAATAAATGACAATCACATTCCTGACTGCGGATTTGCACTGCATAAACTGAAGGGGTCGTTGTCGGCAGTAATAATATGGGCATACTAGATTGTCAGTGCAGAACGTCTCGAATTGACAGAATTGTAATGGAGTGACGCAGAATTCAGTCTGTCATCCCAACAACGGAGGTGGTGTGAGTAGCAGTGCTTCACGTTTGACGCGAGCGATCGCTCTCGCTCTCGCTCTTCTCGGCTCGCGCTAACGTCAAAATAGAAGAGCTTTTTATCGCTCTCCTCCGAGGATAAAACCGCTCTCTTCATATTTTACATATTCATGAAAAAATGAACCCCCAAACTACAAATAAAGCCTATCTAAACCAATCCTCAAATTTTGTTTCTGACTCGCAAAAAAATATCGCTAAATTTGATTCTCGGTGCTGGAAACATGATGTTTCAAGTATAAAACATTTTTTGTTAACGTGAAAATATTCCTTTTTTTTATTGGATATAATGGCAAGTAAATATTTTTGTTAACGTGAAAATATGCCTTATTTTTATTGTATATTATGGCAAATGCAGTAACACACTAATAAAAGGTAATACAAGTTGGCCGTCGAGATTACCGATCCAGCCATTATACTATAAAGTATGCAATATGCAAATAAGATTGTTTGATTCGTGCATGCATGCTGTCAGCCAATAGTAACTGTAAATTTTCCCGCGGTTAGACGCCTCTAACCAATGATAAAAAAGTTGTTTGGAGCATATAAATGTAGCGAACATTCAGCCATTGTTTTGAAATTTTCTCTTCGTTGAATATGACCAATAGAACAGTGATTATGTCGAATTAGCGAATGATTATTGAACCTCAAAATAAAAACGTACAAAAAAGAAAGGAAATAGATGCAGTCTGAACAGTTTTCCAAATGTTCGATTGATCATGTACGCAGATGCATCGAGGATTTGAGCTTCTCATGCGATTTTCTATATTAAGTGTGTGTTTTTAAATGGTTTAAAAAAAAATAATTTACATAAATAGAAATAAATAAATATAGAGTTTAATCAGACGGGCCTCGAAATGTCGCTTTAGTAACTAACCTGCCATTTATAATTTTCCATGTCACACATTATCCATGCACACAAACTTTTGATCCATATAAATATCGTAATTAATTTCTTCGACATCGGCAGGACTAAAAATTCGTGCGAATCGTCGCATTAGCTTTAAGTCTGCGACTCGAAGATTCGTACAATTCCATAATCCGAATTGACGTGGATTCTGCCAAGTAAAACATTAATCTCAAATCATACTTTAAATTTAATGTAGAGGCCTATGACCTTGCCGTTGACAAATGTGTAGAATTCAAATTCTAAAATATCGGTACAAAATTGGATTTCAAACACGAAGTTGCACCTGTACATGACACTATTCTATTATTAACCACGTGCCGAGAGAACAGTTGATCGCACCCCCTGGAATTCCTTTCTCACATTCCGACTAATTTACGCTAAAAATTATATGTAGATTGGTTTTTTTTGTCAAATTGTTATGTAAATTATACATAAACTTTATTTTTGGACATTATTTTGAATTTTTTCAGTGTTTAAATTTTCATTGGAGATAAAATGGCAAACATCGAATTGTTATGGTGCAGACTTTGTGCCAGAATTATAAGGGAGTCAAAGTTAAACTTAAGGATTTTTTCTGTGACTTTTGTCTATGGTTTTCATCAAGTCAGTATAGGAGTGAAAGATTGATACTGAAATTTCATTCTAATAAATATAGAAACACATATCCTTATTTTCTAAGTATCTATGGTGAAAGTATGAAATACATGAATAGCTCTTCTAAATAATGGATTGCTCCTTTATTTTGAGTTGAGAAATACTATTTTTGCAGGAGCAATTTTCAGCTGTTGTAATTTTAGAAGAGCTTTTTATGACTCCTCTAGTTTTTTCAAACGTGAAGCACTGGAGTAGAATCATGACGTAATTAAGCAACGAATATCAATATGTTTCTGCTGCCTGGTTGGTTGAGATATTTTCTTATTCAGTCGAAGCATCCGTTGTAGCCCAAAATACGTCATTATTGCTGATTTTATATTTGTTGTAATGAGTGAAAATCAGTTAATGAGTTAATGTCAGTAGACCGATAGTATCAAATGAATTTGTTAGTCGTACTTCTGTCGTCATAACGCTTACAGTTGAAATATTGTACATGTACTTACTGTACCCTAGTTGTGTAGCCATTACTTTTCCAGTTTCAGAATAATTAATATTACAGACATTTTTTGTTTTGATTCAGGTGCTGCCATCATAAGAGCTAGTAGAAATAGTTTAGTGCGAATTCCTTGCTTAGTACAGAGAAATATTGGAGCCATACACACCAACAGTGCTCTGTTATCAATAAAGAACTCTGAATTAGATCAGTTTCAGTTAGGTGTTCGGGTTCGTTCTAAACAATGGGACAGATATAATGAGATTGTTTATCCACCACTGGAGGAAGGCCAGACACCAAGACCTGCTGTAAGGCCACCTTTTTATACACTCACATTGAAATGTGGTTGTAATGTTGTATATTGTCATCGCCCCCGTCCGTCCGTCCATCCAGCGTCCACAATTACTTGTGGACACTCAACTAACTAAAGTTGATATCCGATTGACTTTTAATTTATACACACTGTTTAAGGAAATGAAATACTGGGCTAATGAAGACGGGCATACGCCATACAGTGTGCTATGAGGGAAATTTTGCCCGGGCAGTGGCACTATCGCCTACTCTTATATCGAATACCAACTGCCAAGGGATCTTTTACGTGCATTCCAATGTATACACGGGACCTCAGTTTTTCGTCTTATCCAGCGGACTAGACAGCTGTCCTTGTCAGGCCCTCATGAGAATAATAACTGTTCAGGTTATGGCCCTTGATCACTTTGAAAAATCTTGTGGATGCTCTAGAGGGCCAAACTAATTTCCAGTTGACTATATATTTGATACAGTGTTTAGGTCATGAGATGAAGAAGCCTATTGATTTTTAATGATATTAAATGTTTTGTATGCTAAATGTTAGAATAGGGCAGAACTAGAAGTCAAATGGGTTGTTACTCATAATCAGATTTAAGTGTGTTGTAAATGTTTTCATCGCTGACAAAAGAAAAAAATATGCGACAACCCTTATTGACTCCCTGGACGACATAGCTGCTGTGGGGGTATGCTTTGTTGCCTGGCAACCTATCTTTAAATCAAATTTACACCCTTAATTTTATGCCTTTTTATACGTCCACATTTTCATGTGGACGTATGATGTTGTTGCCCCTGTCCGTTCGCTTTTTTGTTTGTTGACCCTCTACAAGTTGGATGGCCGAATGGTTAGGGGGTCCGCGTTGTATCATAAGGTCTGTCATTGAGTCAACTGGCGTGGTTTCGATTCCCCGGTTGTACGTGACAAGGAGTAGGGTTGCCTGTCCAACCTTGTGGGTTTTCTCCGGGTCCTTCCGGTTTCCTCCCACAGCTAAAGAGCCCTACGCGCAAGCGAATTATTGAAATAAAATTGAACCATATGTTAGTCCCGAAATGACCTAGTTTTTGTCAGTGGACATAAAACCCTCTCTCTCTCTCTCTCTCTCTCTCTTCCCTTTAATTGTAAGCTATCTGTATAAAGCTGTTATAATTCTATATTTCAGGAAATAACTCATGTTAGATTTAATGTTAAATACAGCCCAGAAAAACTATGGTATATAGCATGTATGGTAAGTTTTATATCAGAAAAACTATGGTATATAGCATGTATGGTAAGTTTTATATCAGAAAAACTATGGTATATAGCATGTATGGTAAGTTTTATATCAGAAAAACTATGGTATATAGCATGTATGGGAAGTTTTATATCAGAAACAAATTATTAGATTCCATATCAGAAATATCTGTTTATGCTCACAGTAAAATTAACATTTGATATGTACATACTCAGTGACCGCCCTAGACTCTAAAAACCTTTAGCCAAATCAAAATTTTATTAGCCAATTCAGAAAGTTTTAAAAATTAAAATAAATGTTTAATTTTACTTATATAGTACACAAGAATATTATTTTATCACCTTGACTGTCCAAAAGTTCACATTATGGAGAGAATGAATGCAGATAACAAAAAAATGTTTATAGGATAGATTACTTCACAGCCATTTAATTCATTCTCATAACAGAAAAGACACCATGATTCTTTTAAGACACCACTGATCAAATGCTCTGACAAATTTAAAATTTATGCTTTCCGGTTCATCCATTTTTATACGTCCACATTCATAATGTGAACGTATTATGCCGTCGCCCCTGTCTGTGTGTGTGTGTGTGTGTGTGTGTGTGTGTGTCTGTGGTTCGCCTACAGGGCGCAATTCTTCATGGATTTTCTTCAAACTTGGTATACTTATTCCTTATACCCCAAGGAAGATCCCTATTGTTTTTGGTGCATGCCCGACCCCCCGGGGCAGAGCCACGCCCATTTCTAGTATTTGTTTGTTTGTCGTCTACAGGCCACATTTCTTAACTAATAATCTTGAAACTTTGCATACACATTCTTTGTACCCTAAGGAACATCCCTATCGTTTGGGGTGCATGCCCAACCCCCAGGGGCAGAGCCACGCCCATTTTCTTTTCGTGTGTCTTTGTGTCGCCTACAGGGCGCAATTCTTACTGGATTTTCTTCAAACTTGGTATACTTATTCCTTATACCCCAAGGAAGATCCCTATTGTTTTTGGTGCATGCCCGACCCCCAGGGGCAGAGCCACGCCCATTTCTAGTTAATTGTGGTATGAATTCTTCTGCTTAAATAACGATAAGAGTTATGCCCCTTTATTTTCGGTAAAATGTCCGACAAGAACCACATCCCTATAGTTTTTGGTGAATGTCCAACCCCCAGGGGCAGAGGCACGCCCATTTTCTTTATGTGTGTCAGTACAGCTTGCAATGCTTAATCAGTCGTCTTGAAAACTTTTTTATACTTATTCCTTATACCCTAAGGCTGACCTCTATTATTTTTGGTGGATGCCCGACCCCCTGGGACAGAGCCCCGCCCAATGTTTGTGTGTCTTGTGTTTCGCCTACAGGCCACAATTCTTAACAGATCCTTTTGAAACTTTGCATACCTATTCCTTATACCCTAAGAATGACAACTGCATGTCCGGTGACCCCCAGGGCCAGAGCCACACCCAATTTTTGTGTTTATCGTTTACAGGCCGCAATTCTGAATGGATTAACTGGGTACTTGGCATATGTATTCCTTATAGCCTAAGGGTGTCAACTATTGATTTTGGTGAATGCCCTTACTGAAAGGATTATCTTGGAACTTGGTATACTTATTCCTTATACCCTAAGGATGGCAACTATTGATGTTGTCATTTCAATAACAGGGTGGTGCCTATTTATATTGTTCCATTTTCAACCCCCAGGGGCAGAGCCACACCCGATTTTTGTATTTATCATCTACAGGCTGCAATTCTGAATGGATCATCTTGGAATTTTGCATATTTATTCCTTATACCGTAAAGACAGCAACTATTTATTTTGGTGCATGCCCCAACCTCCTGGGGCAGTGTCATACCCACTTTTTTGTTAATATTTTGTCTGTAAATTTGGCAAAACAAACCCAACGCCTAGCCTCCTTTTCATTCTCAATCAAAGCTGGAACGTGGACGTATATTCCAGCGTTAGCGATGCTCTTGTTATAAGCATGAGGTCATTGAGGGTTAGCTCGACAGTCTCGGTTAAGGTCTAATTTTTGTCCACATGTTGATAAAGCCAACGAAGGACTTGCGTCAGAGATGACAATCGTACTCTCGGAAGTAGATTCTGGACTAACAGTAGTCGTAGGAAGGAAAAATTAATCTATTCTTCTTATTTTGGTTTACTAGTATTAGTTGTCATGATTATTGTGTGTTTTATTTATTTACTGCATGAGTAAAGAAAACTTGTAGTGAAACGAATGTAAACAACGCAGTGCCACACAAAAGGGACGTAACTGTGTTTGATAGATTTATAGTCTCGAGACTCGATCGTTTTAAATTGACTGATTTGCGACTTGTAAGATTGAGACTAGAGTGATTAGTACATAGAAATATATTTCTATGAATTAGTGTACTAACAATAGACATTCCATCGAGTCGTTTGAAAGAAGCGTTGAACGAGACGATTTCAAGTTTAATATTAGAAGATTTACGAAATAACACTCTCTAAAATTCATTCGCCAAAATTTTCGCCAGTATCATCACTTTATTCGCCAATAAAAAGAATTGTCGCCATTGGCGAATTGGCGAATGTCTAGGGCAATTGACTGCATACTGTAGTTAAACTGTTTTTATACGCCCACATGGAAATGTGGTCATATATTGCCATCACCCCTGTCTGTCCGTCCACAATTTCTTGTGAACACTCTACAGACTACATTTATCATCTGATTGTTTTAAAATTGATATATGTTGTTTACTGTAGTGCGATGAAGAATCCTATTTAATTCCCGTTAATTTCTTCTAGAGTTATGGCCCTTGTTTCACTTTGCTGTAATTAAATTGTTTTTATCTTTATAGGTAAGAGGCATGAGTATAGATGAAGCAATAAAACAAGTATCATTCTATAAAAGACAGGGATGTGTACACATCAAAGAGGTGGGTTCTAACTTTATTCAGGGGGTTGGATGGCCGCATGGTTAGCATGTACGCGCTGTATCATAAGGTCTGTCATTGAGTCAACTGGTGTGGTTTCGATTCCCCAGTTGTACGTGACAAGGAGTAGGGTTGCCTGTACAACGAGGATAAATGGGGGTGAAATCTAGGGTGCACCCCACAATGAATGTCAACAAAATGCGTAATAAAATTATAAAGTAACACTGAGCGTGCCAGTAGAACATAGATCTTATTACCTGTATAGTTGTTCGTTGATCGGGGGGGGGTTGGATGGCTGAATGGTTAGCGTGAGCGCGCTGTATCATAAAGTCTGTCATTGAGTCGACTGGCGTGGTTTCGAATCCCCGGTTGTACGTGACAAGGAGTAGGGTCGCCTGTCCAACCTCGTGGGTTTTCTCTGGGTCCTCCGGTTTCCTCCCACTGCAAAAGACCGCTATGCGCAAGCGAATTATTGAAATAAAATTTAAAAACCATATGTTAGTCCCGAAATGACCTAGTTTGTGTCGAGTGGACGTTAAAACCCATTTCTCTCTCTCTCTCTGTTCGTTGATCATTGTCTCCCCGAAAAACAGTTTTATTCGAGTCCATGATTGTTACTGATTTTGTTATTGTGGGATTTTTTGTGAACCTTAGGGCCGCTTACATGGTCTCACCTCTATCCCCCGCAACCCCTGATATCTAAAACCTCATAAATGTATCTTTATTTTATAGGTTTTGTTAGAAGCTCAGGAAATGGCTGTTAGAGATCATAATGTGGAATTCAAGTCAAATCTTTGGATTGGTGAGTTAATCCTCGTTCAAAATATCAAATACTGAACTGAATACCACATTCACTTGGCCGAAATTGAATTCTAGTTTCAGAGGGGTTGGGTGGCTGAATGGTTAGCGCGTGCTAAGGCCTGTCATTGAGTCAACTGGCATTGTTTTGATTCCCTGGATCTATGTGACAAGGAGTAGGGCCGTCTGTTTTCTCCAGGTCCTCCGGTTTCCTCCCACTGCTAAAGATCCCTATGCGCAAGCAAATTATTGAAATAAAATTGAACCATATGTTAGTCCTGAAATGACCTAATTTGTGTCGAGTGGACATTAAACCCATCTCTCTCTCTTTCTCTCTCTCTCTCTCTCTCTTTGAATTCTATTTTTTTAGTTTAATATCTGTTGAAAATATATGAAGATATATCTGACAAAATTTCATACTACTGTGTATTAATATTAAACATTTTGGTAGATTCAGCATTCCATACAATTAAATCTATCTGGTTTTACATGAGACCAGATAATATTGCTACCCTAGGACATATTCATTAATAATAGAACACTTTTCTTCTTTACAGCTGATTCCTTTACAGAGAAAGGAGAAGTTGTGAAAGGTTTACGAAAACATCGTTCCCTTCGTTATGGAATTGTACACTATAGATATTCTCATTATTTTGTCCGTTTACGAGAAGGGAAACCACCTAAACATTACTACCCTCCTCCACTTACGGGCCACGAGAAAATGGAAGAATACATCAGAGATATGAGAGCTAGACGAATTGCATTTGGTTTATAACAGTTGCTTATTGTGAGGACTGGGTTGTAAACAGTAGAACTTGTCACGTTCATCGTGTGTTTACTCTATTCATTTTAAGGCTAGTGTGGGAATTGATTTATGGACGTAAAATACAACTAACTTGCATTGATTTGCTTCCAAAACAAGCTTCATATTGTGATTAAAATAGGAGTTTAGACTACACATAGTAACTTTAGTGGAAATGAGATGTTTTCAAAAGTTCTTTCTCTGAAGTAGTCCTGAAGAACAGTGTGTTAGAACAGTGCTAAAAATGTCCAGTTATTAGTAAAATATTCTACTTTCACTTTTTTTTATTAATTATCATATAAAATAAAAACAATCAACAAATTAACATATAGTTTTATTCAAGATTTAACAGAAAATATTTAAAGTTATATATTTTTATGGAGTGTTTTATTGCAGAACAATTCGAATCTGTATCTTTGAATACAAAACCGGGAAATTTTTTAGAGAGAAATGTGTTTGTGGGGGGTGTGTTTTGTAGAAGTAATCTCAGGTCAACAACAGCCACCCTGTATCCACCCTTCGTTTGAGTAGTATTTCATATTTGACTAGATTTTTCAACATGATTTTTCAACATGATCCCTTGCAACTTTTAGTTTTTAGTATTACACATACAACATAGCAATCTGATTAAAACACAGATCTTTATTTCGTTTCGTTTTTTTTATACTTTCGATGACCTCTACTACGTAAAGATCTGACCAGTTGTACTGGAAGGTCGTGTCAGGGGTCGTACAAGCGACTATTGACCCTACAAAGTCAGACATTGATTAATCAATCAGCATTGATGTTTCTAGTGGTTTATCCACAGTTCCGTGTAATGCACGCTACAAACTCACTGTAATAGACCGTTTCATTTGCTAATACCTCACATCATCCAGAACGCGGGTTATATAACAACTCTTCCAGATCCTAGTGTAGTAAAGACAAGTAAAACGAAATTCTGGTCTATAAAAAACGAAACAAAACAGATTGGCGAAATTATTTATCATGGACAACTTGTTCATACATCATTTTAATTCATTAGATGTAACGAACAGTCCAATTGGGGCAATAACAACTCTTCCAGAACTTGCCGTAACATACTGTTTCATTAGCTAATCCTTCATTTCAACCAGAACGCTGGTAATATAACAACTCTTCCAGTAAAGACAAGTAAAACAAAATTTTGAACTATAAACAAAAACGAAACGAAATAGGATCTGTGTTTTTTAATCAAATTGACAAACTAAAGGGTTTAAATTTTATTTTTTTAAAACCCTAGGTTCAACACGGATGGACAGAGGAACATCTTCAGGTTTTGTAGTAACTGGTATTTTTCGTTTCTTGATTATTTCCTCTACCACTTCCTGTTTATAATTATACCAGGATTTATTGGCCATTAATTCAGCATAAAGAAACTGGTTTGAGGGCAGCATTGGGTTCCTCACAGCAGCCCACTCTTGTAAATCCTCCATTTTGGCTTGTATTTCAAATTGTACTGAATTTATAACCAAACATTGAACTTTACCTTTACTTATAATAAAGGTGTTTGTCAAGTTTTCACCTGGAATCAAATGAAATGGATAAATAGAACCAGCTAGGGATCAAGGGCATAACAATAATTATCAAATAGTAAGTAATTGTTTTGGCTACTACCAAAGTGACGCTGTGTCATAAGGTCTGTCATTGAGTCAACAGGTGTGGTTTCAATTCCCCGGTTGTTGGTTGTACGTGACAAGATGTAGTGTCGTCTGTCTAACCTCGTGGGCTTTCTCCGGGTCCTCCCACTGCTAAAGACCCCTCGCGCAAGTGAATTATTGAAATAAAATCGAACCATGTTGGTCCCGAAATGACCTAGTTTGTGTCGAGTGGACGTTAAACCTCATCTCTCTCTCTCTCTCTCTCTCTCTCTCTCTCTCAAAGTTTCTGGCATCTCAAGAAATTGGATAAAAAATATTACACTACACACCGACAGCGAAATAATCTCCCGCATGCAAATTAAACATGGTTACAAATCTAACATCAGCTGTCTGCTTTCTCCAATGATGACCATAGTTCTTCTTAAAGAAGCTTGGTCCACACGCATCCTCCGGTAGATGGAGTGTTGATTCAAGATGGGGTGACTTCTGACGAATCATTTCTAATTTCCTAACCACGGTACAATCACCATTGGTAATAAAATAAACATAGTCTGATACTCCCGGTATGTCACCTACAATAGACTAAACAATTTCACAACCCATTAAAAAACACATAAATAATAGCAACCTTTACAATATCTTATTACCCCCGTCAAAGACGGATGGCGTCTTTAGTACTCTGCTGCGACCATACGGTAGAATATGGCAACCTAGTTTACTGTCACACGAGTTGCTTAATAACTTGTCTAATCATACTGTGGACAACACTGGAGAGGGAACTACACATTAAAGGAGCTAAGTCTCTAACTCAATATCGTCGCCTGTCCAACCTCGTGGGTTTTCTCCTGGTCCTCCGGTTTCCTCCCACTGCTAAAGACCCCTACGCGCAAGCGAATTATAGAAATAAAATTAAACCATATGTTAGTCCCGAAATGACCTAGTTTGTGTCGAGTGGACGTTAAACCCCATTTCTCTCTCTCTAACTCAATATCATCCAAAATCTTCAACATTGAAAACACGATTTATTTGTTAAATTAAATCAACATTCATGTTGTCATCTTACCGGAAAAAGATGGGCTTTTGATATCCAATATTTAAGACAAAATAAACATTTTACCATTAGTACACGAATCGTGTACCATAATGCGCTTCAGCCCCAGTTGTATCAAGAGACTCGAGGGACGAGGCTAGACACAATGCACCAAATCAAACGGCGTATGTAGACAGGAATCACCAGACGCTAGAAATTTGAGACTGCTGGCTTATTTCGCCGAACATAACTGATTTGAAATTGGAGTAAAAAGGGAAACCATTGAATGTAAATCAGTTTATATACATTCATACTACATTATTTTATGCGTTGCGACCCACTTTTGTCAATTTCTAGGTCCCAAATGTTAGCGATTTAGCTCCTTTAAATGACTCTGATGTGCAATCAATCTGATTAAAACACGGATCCTATTTCGTTTCGTTTTAATAATTCAAAATTTCATGTTATTTGTCTGTACTCCACTAAGATCTGGAAGAGTTGTTATATAACTGCGTTCTGGATAACGTAAGGGATTAGCCAATGAAATCATCTGTTACGCGGCGACTTCTTGGCGTGCGATGCACGGAACTGTGGATAAACCCCTAGAAACGTCAACGCTGATTGGTTAATCAAATGTCTGACGCCATAGGGTCAAAAGTCGCTCGTATGACACCTGACGCGACCCCCAAAACAACTGGTCAGATCTTCATGTAGTGTAAGCCATCGGAAGTATAAAAAAAACGAAACGAAAGTAATTTGAATCAGATTGCTGTGCAATTCGACCATTTTACTCTAACTTTTTGCCAGACATAATTATTGGGTAAGGATCGGGCTTGTAAAGGGCAGATTCAACAGTCAATAAGTATCATAAATAGCTTTATAAAATGGATTCGGTCAAAAGCCCGGCTTGCATCTAGCAGGCACACATAAACCACAGCTGGTGGTTTCATTTATTACAATGAGTGATCATTGTTGAAACCAAATTTGAAGTCGGATGATTTCAGCACATCACTGTTCTTATTTAATATAACCCAGTCTAACAGTTTACCAGTGATGCTACTCAGGGCAATACCTCTATAATTCTCAGAATCGTTTAAAGATTTCTTTCTGTTTTTCGGAATAGAGATTATAGTGGATAACGTAAAATTTTGTGGATTAAATCCGTGACGTAGCATAGCTGATAAGACGAGAGACAAGTGACAATAATATAAATGGTGAGTATGAATAATATTAACACCGATAGAACAAAACACAAAAAATGGAACACAGGACAGTTCAAGATAAGTTATTCAATTGAGACAGAGAAAAAAGTTAACAAAAAACATCTGTAGTTTGGCATGTATGTGAGCGTGGCCCTAATGAGACCATTTTCCGTCGCAGTAAGGAAGCCACCCCAGTCTGACGGGGGTATAACCAACAGGACACGTCCTATTATTCTGCTCCAGTGGAGGTAATGACGACAGGCATACTTTAGTGTTGGAAATGTCCAGTCAGCAATTGAATTTCAACTGTCAAGGCTTCTATTACGTGCACGCCAAGGTGCAGCCTACATGGACCTTCGTTTTTTTCGTCCCATCCGAACGACTAGACATTGTTCCTTGCCAGCTCATCTGCCTGCCCCACAGACAAGGAGAAGAGAAGCCACACTTCAAGATCCCGGGGAACCCTAGACACCCCGCTTAATGAGCCAGCGTCTTGTTTACTAAGCCAGCAAGACTCATTGGAATTTTTGAGATAATGCACAAGCGCCGAGATTACCGCGCTGTATCATTGAGTCAACTGGTGTGGTTTCGATTCCCCGGTTGTACGTGACAAGGAGTAGGATCACCTGTCCAACCTCGTTGGTTTTCTCCTGGTCCTCCGGTTTCCTCCCACTGCTAAAGACCCCTACGCGCAAGCGTATTATTGAAATAAAATTGAACCATATGTTAGTCCCGAAATGACCTAGTTTGTGTCGAGTTGACGTTAAACCCCATTTCTCTCTTTCTCCGAGAATACATTTGATTGAATTACTGTGTATTTGTTTACCTTATTAGCTGGGTAATCCCTCAGTTCAGTTACATCCGCCGCTATTTCTAGTTGTTGGGCATCCCAAGTTTTAAAATACGGTGAAACTTTTAAAATATTCATTCTTTCTGCTCTGAGATAATCCCACGCATCTCGTAAAACCTTGTTGAAATTATCTTTCGTCATACTCAACAGTTCACATGTTGCTGAAAATAAGAATCTCTAGAAATAAATATATAAGAATACAGTACTTTAACTATCAGAGAGTTTAATTGCAATCTGATTAAAATACAGATCTATATTTCGTTTCGTGTTTTATACTTTCGATGGCCTACACTACATGAAGATCTGGCCAGTTGTAGTGGAAGGTCGCGTCAGAGGTCATACGAGCGGCTTTAGACCCTTAAACGCCAGACATTTGATTAACCAATCAGTTTTTATGTATCTAGTGGGTTACCCACAGTTCCATGCATCTCACGCCACAAACAAGCCGGTAGGATAAAAAAAAACCATAGTCTTGATTATCCATTTTTGGATTTAATCATCAATGAGCGTTGAGCAGCAGATCGGATTCCAATCCAGTGAAAATACGACACATAAGATGACATCGAGAGTTGATTATGGTAAGTTAATTAAAGATACATTATGTAAGATTTAGATAAAGAGCTAGGCATTCTTACTATAAAAGTTCGAAAATAGATAATGTAAAATGAATAATTTGAAAATTTCATTCAAATTACTTTATTCTGAGCTAAGATATTAGCCTTTGAAGGTTTGACAAGACCTGTACATTAATTACAACCACCGTACTGGTTAGATCAAAATATGACTGTAATACCCCCGTCAGACCGGGGTGACGTCCTTACTTCGCTGCTACGGCGACGTCCTTACTTCGCTGCTACAGCGACGGAAAATGGAATAAGTGCGCGTCAAGATCGCCATAAGCGTGGTAAAGGCGTGGTGGAAACGCTAGATATCGTGCAGTGGCCCAATGATCGCCGAGTCATGACATATTTTTGAGCATGTTCATGACAAACGTCAAGGTTCGATCTGACCTGGAAAGCTGTATGAACGCGACTTTTTTCAAGTTTGTAATTTTTTGGGACATTGTCTTGCGATGTGTTCATGTTTGCCGGCGACCTTATGCAGGTTGCCGTACGGTCACAGCACTTCAGTAAGGACCCCACCCCGGTTTGACGGGATATTCCATTGCGTGTACCTACTTTTACTGTAAACTGTAGCAGTTCTCTTGGTATCTCTCATTAAAGCCAGTTCACCAAAATAACATCCCGATGTAAATTCCTTTATTTGACGTACTACCTTTTCCCCTGTGTAAAAAGATGTAATATTTGAAATGCGGTAGATTAGGATGTGACGCTAGTTTTCTACAACATAAACTTCTTATGTCCTTTAATTGAATAACAGTATATTTCCGGAGCTTCGGTTGGAATCTCAATCTGATTAAAACATAGATCCTATTTCGTTTCGTTTTTTATAGTTCAAAATTTCATTTTACTTGTCTTTACTACACTAGGATCTGGAGGAATTGTTATATAACCCGCCTTTTGGATGATGTAAGGGATTAGCCAATGAAACGGTCTGTTACGGCGAGTTTTTGGCATGAGTTGCACGGAACTATGGATAACCCACGATAGACACATGAACGCTGATTGATTAATCAAATGTCTGACGTCATCGGGTCAAAAGTCGCTCGTATGACCTCTGACGCGACCTCCGACTACACCTGGTCAGATCTTTATGCAGTAGAAGCCATCGAAAGCATAAAAAAACGAAACGAAATATAGGTCTGTCTTTTAATCAGATTGATTGAAAGCTCCGTGGACCTGCACAAAAGTTTTGTTCCTAGATGTAACCACGGGTTGAGCGTTTGGTTCTAAAAGCCAAGGCCCATTGCAGATTTCGTCAACAATCACGTGTCCTAATCCTATTTACATCTCGTGACCTATGGCAAAATCTGCAATGGACTTTAGCTTTTAACCTTTGGCTGGTTCGGATCTTCCCTTAAAAGGGACCCCAACCCCAACCCTTTCAGGAGGTAGGTGCGCCTTCTCGTGGGTTTACTCCGAGTACTCCGGTTTCCTCCCACAGGAAAAACCCCTACTCATGCGCTAAGATAATAAAAATGAAAATAAGACGACCTGTCTGCGATATCCCCTTCGGTGGAAGCGCACGTTAAACACACAGAACAACAACAACCCTTCAAGCACCACACCGCATTCGAAGATTCGAGATTCGCCTCTGAGATAAAATGACACCGAAATATAAAGTAATATTGGACGATCTGTGCTCCAGCTTTCTCTGGGTCGCCTGTCCAACCTCGAGGGTTTTCTCCGGGTCCTCCGGTTTCCTCCCACTTCTAAAATCCCCTACGCAAGCGAATTATTGAAATAAAATTGAACCATGTGTTAGTCTCGAAATGACCTAGTTTGTGTCGACTGGACGTTAAACCCCATTTCTCTCGCTTTCTCTGGGGTGTGGTGTGGTGTAGCTTCTCATTGCTTGGGTAGTTCAAATAGCATTTTAATTGTTCTTAAATATTTAATTATAATAAATCGAGTGACGCATACCAGTTCTTGGATCGGTCATTAACATTCGAACACCCAGCTTCCCTGATGAAACAAAATACATTTTAAAACCTGGATGATCTTGTCTAATGACGACCCTCTCAGCCTCGACTTTATCATATTCCAGACATCTTGCTAAATCTCTTTTAATAGACATGGAATATTTCTGGAAGAATGGCATCCTATTTATAACTTCCTGCAAATAAAAGTATAATTCATGTTCAATAAGCTGTCCCTGTTAAAATAATAAATACGTATTCTATAATTACATTAATCAATACATGTTCTTTGAGTGGTGCAGGACGGAGGGCCTGACAAGGACAGCTGTCTAGTCGTTCGGATGGGACGGAAAACCGAGGCCCCGTGTACATATTGGCGTGCACGTAAAAGATCCCTTGGCAGTTGGAATTCGATATAAGAATAGGCCGTAGTGCCGCTGCCCCGGGCAAAATTTCCCTCATAGCACACTGTATGGCGTATGCCCGTCTTCATTAGCCCAGTTTCGGAGCAGAACAGTAGGACGTTAAACCCCATTTCATTTCATTTCTATGAGTGGTCTATGTTGTTAGAGGGCTTGGGTTGCCGAGTGGTTAGCGCGTACGCATTGTATCATTAGGTCTGTCATTGAGTCAACTGGCGTGGTTTCGATTCCCCGGTTGTACGTGACAAGGAGTAAGGTTGCCTGATCAACCTCGTGGGTTTTCTCTGGGTCCCCGGGTTTCCTCCCACTGCTAAAGACCACTACGCACAAGCGAATTATTGAAATAAAATTAAACCATATGTTAGTCCCGAAATGACGTAATTTGTGTCGAGTGGACGATAAACTCTGCCCCCCCCCCTCTCTCTCTCTCTCTGTTGTTTATTTGTCTATAACATCAATCAATACACGTTCTGTGTGCGGTCCTGCTAATCACCGACAAGATCAGACACGGGCAAACTCTACATATTTAAATCACTTCATAAAAATATGAAATAATTATCGATAACTGAAATTACACCAATACACGTTCTTTAAATTGTACATACACATCACCCCATATACGCTCTCAAGGTGGTCTTTTGTGTATTACACCAATACACGTGGTCTATGTATATTACATCAATACACGTTCTTAGTGGTGTATGTATATTATCATGTACTACTACTACACCAATACACACTCTGTAAGTGGTGTATGTATATAACACCAATAAACGTTCTGTAAGTGTTATATGTATATAACATCAATACACGTTCTCTAAGTGGTCTATGTGTATCACACCAATATACGTTCTATAGGTGGAAGTAGTCTATGTGTACTGCTTTAATACACGTTCTGGTATACCACTTCAGTTAACTGAATTTATTTCTTAAGCGAAAATACTGGTTGAACCTTATGTTTAGTTAACGTCAGGGATTGACTGAGAAGGAGTCTGCTAGTATGGTAGGCTCAGAGACCCCTAAAGAAGTTAATGTTCTCAGATAGTTTGAGGGCCCGTTTTACTCATGCATTTAGTCGTTTTTGATAAATCCTTAGGCAAAGCAGACTCTGGAGGTTTGGTACACTGGATATTCTCGAGGGGGGGGGGGGGGCGCATTCTTTTAGACTACTTTTTTTATACATTTCACCGATGTGGTTACTTGTATAGTTGAATTTTACTACATATGCTTACATTCGTATTTCGTGTAGCATATATAGCAGATCATGACTCATGCTGGCATTACACAATGGGTTCTTTGGGTTGTTTTCCTAATTGTTTTCAAATTTGAGTGAAATCTGTGTCACTACAGACCCGGGACTGTACAGTGCAGTTGACGCTTACGGCTAGCCCCCGGATCCATTCACTTTTTTTTAATGGTCTGTATGTTTGTGTTTTCCTGGGTATGATGTCCTGTCCGTGTATTTGTTTTTGCGTAAATTTTGTGTGGTGCAGTCCCCCTGCACTTACTATTTTAGAGAGCGGGACAACAGGGCGGGGGGGGGGGGGGTCACGGCGCAAGGCTCATAGTCTCCATGCTCCCCCAGGTCGTCCTTGGTTAACATGTTGTTAGTAAAAAAATATGAATACAAAACATAGGTAACGAAACGGTCAGTGGCGGCGCCAGCCACTGGTGGACACTGGGTTAAGGGGGGGGGGAAGTCTGGCAGTATTTCAGGCACCGACAATAGAGCTGACCAAATACAGTGTATTTATATCGTTAGGGGGGGGGGGGGTTCCTCGCCGCACCCCCGTCGCCGAAAAATAACGGGCTCTCTGGGATATTCTAGAGTCGATTTGTGGCATACATGATCAGCCACGTCAATATGGTTATGAAGTATAAAGGAAGGTCGGAATTTGAAGTTGAATTTGTCAAAAATCTCAAGGGGGCGCAAAAACTCTAAACCCTTAATGCAAATCACGTCTCCTTCACGTGGCCCCTGTTAACAACGAAAAGTAAAAATAAATAAATAAATAAACAATCTAGAACAATATAACCATTACTTACCTTTATAAAACCTATACGGGGGCAGATCCAGAGATTTCTTTAGGGGGGGGGTTTGCCAGGCTCTTAAGGAAATTTGACAGTAGACAATGTATGATGCCATCATCGTCTTTAAATTAGAGCTTTTTAAACAGAGAAATCCAACACCCTGTTTGATGGTAATTTTTATAATGAATTAATTGAATCACATTGTGATTCAATTCCATCGATGCAAAGCATTAATTGTGATATCACATATGTCTATATCATTATTTCAAGCTTCGAATGCCAATGCCATCCCACCATTTGATAATAAAGGATAAAGCACACGACCGTAACACTTTTCTCATAAAAGGTGTTTTTTTAAAACTTTTTTTATAATAATATAGCTGAGCAGATTGGGTTTGGACCCACCAGACCCCACACCCCCGCCCCGCACACACACCCCTGGATCCGCCCTGTTATATAAATACATCTACATTAGATTATAATAGCTGTATAAATGGTAAGGAAATATATACTAATGGTAAAATAAATACAGAATATTGAAAACATGTATAACTATATACTGCCTTGTATAACAGTGAAGGCATTCAAATCCTATTCCAATTAAATCATGGCGTATGTCAACAATGGGTATTCGATCTTCCATGGCATTGACATAATAAAATAAAGTTAAAAACGTTAAATTGTGTTTGATATATGTCTAGATGACGTGCCGTCCAATTATATTTGAAAGACTGCAAACTCAGAAAACAATCCACAACATAATATGTCAATTTCGGTCAATAAAATTTCGCAATCTCAATATAAAATCACGAACCAAATTTTCATCATCCTAGCTCAGTGCTAGACTTAACCTCTCCCCCAAATTTTTAAACCTGACCCTGAACCTAGCCCCAATACTTACTCTAACCCTAACCTACAATCTCGCCAACAATCACGTGCCCTACCCTTAATTACATCTCATTGACCTACTCTTAACAAATAGATTTAGCCCTAAAAACAGGGCCGTAACTAGCTCAGAGCAATGAGGGGTGAGGGGACGGGAAGTGTTCTCAGGGGTGTTGTAAAATTGACGGACAATGTATATCTATTTTTATTTTTTTGTCGACAATTTTTCCAGGGGTGGTGGCGAAACTTTGCCCCCTCCACCTGCGCCCCCCCCCCCCCGCGCCTTAGTTACAGGCCTGTCTATACATTATATAACATCACATTACCATTAACACTAGTATGTCGACATCGTTGCGGTCATCTTGCCGTTTGGTTAAAGCTTTTCGGGCCATTTTAGTTAAACCTCCATACGTTTTAGAAGCAGACTTATAGTCCTGGGGATCGAATGATAAAACTTCGCCATCGGCAGCGACTCGCTCAAACTTGGTATTCTTCATTTCATCTTTCTGAAGTGAAAATTGTTTATTCGTGTCGAGTGGACGTTAAACCGCATTTCTCTCTCTCTCTCTCTCTCCCTCTCTCCAACTTATAATAGGCTAGGCTAAAATCTAGACTAAATTAATGAACGTCGTGTTATCACAATCTGATTAAAATACAGACCTATATTTCGTTTGGTTTTTTTATATACTTTTGATGGCCTACACTGCAAGAAGATCTGACCAATTGTATTGAGAGCTCACGTCAGGGGTTGGTTGTATGAGCGGCTTTTGACCCTATTACGTCAGACATTGATTAATCAATCAGCATTGACGTCTCTAGTGTTTTGCCTACAGTTCCGTGCAACGCACGCCAAGAAGTCGCCATAACAGATGGTTTCATTGGCTAATCCCTCACACTATCCAGGACGCATGTTATGTAACAACTCTTCCAGATCCTAGTGTAGTGAAGACAAGGAAAACGAAATTTTGAACTATAAAAAACGAAACGAAATAGGATCTGTGTTTTGATCAGATTGGTGTTAACGGGACTTGATAATCAAGGGTTAAGTTATTCAAACACTCAAAACGAATGATTAGAAATATCTTTCGACACAGATAAGTTTTATATTGGATATAATTTTAAGTAATTCTTCTGCCCATTTATTTTCCGACTTTCGAATTGATTTTAATACAATAGTAATTAATATACCTTTAGTTGTCTTCTCGTAACTCTACATAAAGCTACAATATGATAAATCATTCGACAGAATCTTCTAAACGGCGTAGCTCGAATTTTGATATATTTTTCTTCTAACACCGACTGACGTCTAAGCCTCGATTCACGCCTCGCTTCTCTCCTGGGCTGTCGTCTTCCCTTAACTTTGCCATCCTTGGATGCACCTTTCTGCTTTTCGCTTTCCTTTCGGTAGAAAAATACTTAAATTAAGCGAGAAAAAAAAATCTCGTAGCAACGTTCAATTAGTAAATGTATAGAACAACTACTGATCTTTTAAATGAAATGAAATGGGGTTTAATGTCCTACTGTTCTGCTCCGAACTGGGCTAATGAAGACGGACATACGCCATACAGTGTGCTATGAGGGAAATTTTTCTCGGTCAGCGGCACTACGGCCTACTCTTATATCGAATTCCAACTGTCAAGGGATCTTTAGGTGCACGCCAATGTGTACACGAGACCTGGGTTTTTCGTCCCATCCGAACGACTAGACAGCTGTCCTTGTCAAGCCCACCTTCCTGCATCACTGACAAGGGGGAACCACGCCGGAAAATCTGAGTGAACTTTCTCGGCCAAAGCAGGGATCGAACACCCGACCTCCAGACTAGCAAGCCACCGTGATCCCAGGCTGATCTTTTATGAAGTAAGAATATAATAGTGTTGTGAGTCAGCGGGGTTCGGGTAGAGGTGGAAGTGATTGGTCGTATTATTACTGTGGTATAACCATTTAAAGTTGTAGTAAATGAAATGGAATGGGATTTAACGTCCCACTTTTCTGCACTGATTGGACTAATGAAGATGGGCATACGCCATACAGTGTGCTATGAGGACAATTTTGCCCTGGCAGCGGCACTACGGCCTACTCTTATATTGAATTCCAACTATCAATAGTTCTTATTCCTGCACGTCAATGTGTACACTACACACTGTCCTTGCCAGCCCCCCCCCCCTCCTGCATCACTGTCAAGGGAAATCACCCTGAAAAATCCCAGAGAACTTTCTCGACCAACACCGGGATTGAACCACGGACCTCTCCCCCCAAATTCTTAAACCTAACCCTTAACCCTAGTGTAGTATAGAGAAAAAAAACGAAATTTTGAACTATAAAAAACGAAACGAAATAAGATCTGTGTTTTAATCAGATTGGGCCATTTCGATATTCATAACAGGTCAACACCGATAAATCATCTAAAAATCGTCAATAAAAAGCAATTGTTCAAAAAATTCAATTTACCGATATGATAAGTAATTTTTCAGAAGCATCACTCGGACTTATATCTACTAAATCGGTAGATTCGATTTGTTTGACACTTTCTTTTATTTCCTTCTTATGTTTTACTTGCGATTGTTTACGTTTACGAAGTCCACCAGTCTCGAATTCATTTGCATTATTCTCAGTTTCATGGACATTTACAAGTTCGCTTTCTGTGACAACAGGGCTCGCACATGGAGAATCGATGTACAATATATTGACATCATTTGGGCCACTCCTTGAAAGTTTACTATCGCGATTGCGATTTTTACGTGAATTATTTTGACGGGATATTCCACGAGAACTAAGTATTGAAGATCGACCTAAAGTACTATCAGACGCTGTTTTTCTCCTTTCTAACAAGGTCGGGGAGATCATTTTCTGCTCAGACAAGCTATTATTTAACTTTCTAGCATATTCTCCTATAACTGGCGGAACACACTGCATCGTATTTATAAATACAGATCGAAGTCGTTCTTCATACGAACGCGTAAGAGGCACGAGGCCATGCTCCTCATCCGGCTTTCTACGAATTCTCCGAATAAGTTTCGGGAATTGTAACGCGAGTCTGTCAATTCCAGACGGTTGAATCTCCTGTATTTTAGTCTCATAAATCCATCGATCCAATCTCTCATAAATCTTTTTCTTTGTTTCGTCGATAACTTCTTTATGGAGCGACATGTTGGCTAGCAGACGAGATGGAGCACGTGTATTTGTTATTGTTTATGGGTCAAAGGTTATATCTTTTTTGTGCGGTTGCGCATTACGTTCTTCCGCTAAGAGGACACGCTTTCTACTCCGCTGTTGTAATCGTTCAAGTTCAAGTGAATTTAGATAGGTAATACCAAACCTTTTAGAATATATGCTGTCAATCACGTTGATAACTAAAACTATAAATCCTAGTGCTAACCTTAAACGAAAAGTCTAATAAAGAAGGTGAACGGGACTAAATTGATGTCTTATTAACGGCATTGGATGAATGGTTGTTCCAAAAATCATAATGATAATGCCCTCTGCTCTGCATTATGATTATATTAATTATTATATGAATGATGTAAACATGCGATGGATGTGGTGTATACTACTACTATTATCACACATTACTAAAATCATATAAACTGTATAGATTGGGCATCTGCTTGTTATGAAGTGTAAGCTTGTCAGGGCAAAAATAGTGTCTAGTTGGGATGAAAAACTAAGGTCCTTGAACTACTTGAAGTTTGGGTACTATTTCAGTAACGTACCTCTACCAGTTCCTGTGATCTATGATCATTGGAACTGGTATAGGTACGTTACTGAAATAGTACCGAAGTGCTATTGCACGTTCACAGCTGTACCAGTTCCTGTGGTCGTAGAGACTTTAAATTTTCAGAGGATATCATTGTTAAGGGGGGCTAGCCATGATCTCACACAAAGTTATTGACTGATTCGGCTGAAATATGGTGTGAGGTCATGGCTAACATCCCCTGAAAATTTCAAGTCTCTACAACCACGGTAACTGGTAGAAGTGTGAAAGTGCAATTGCGACAAAAAAAACCCTTGAAAGTTGGAATTCGAAATAGGAGTAGGCTCTAGCGCTGCTTTCAGCCTGTCTTAATTGGCTCAGTCGCTGCAGAAAAGTAAGGTGTTAAACCCCATTTCATTTCCGCTAGATTCACTTTGATGTACCGGTGGTTTGAGCAGAGTTGGGATATTATTTATTAGATGTATTTTTAAGGCCTAATAAAACTGGAAAATTAATTTTTTATTGTTTTTTCCCCCATTTATAGATAAAACAACATTGATACGATTACAAAACCCCTTCGTTAATTTTGTGCGGACAAATAGATACCGGTAATCAACAGAGAAATTAGCTAAAACTGATTTCCAGGGTTATCATCAAATCTCTTAAATGACTGTATCTTACACCAACTGTATTATTTTTTTTCTTCAATATCATTCATCATTTTGTATTTCAGGTTGAAATATCCGAATCTTCCGGAGTACATTGTTGACATTGCCAAGATGTCATATGATACCAGTAACTTGCAGGGGGGTGAAATGGATCCCGAAATGAAGGAGTTTATACAAATGGAATCACAAAGGGCCCAATTACAAGCCCAGGTTCATAAATTAACTGATATTTGTTGGGAACAGTGTATGGACAAACCTCGTGATAAGTTAGACGGTCGAACAGAAACTTGTATGACTAACTGTGTTGACAGGTTTATAGACACGTCTTTACAAATAGCCACAAGATTTCAACAGCTGTTACAAAGAGGACAATGATAATTTATTAATATTAATTTTTAAAGGAACATTATGGGAGATTAGATAAAGAGTTGACAGTTCTTGCAATAGTAGTTAAAAAATAGATAACGTATATAGGATAATCGAGTCAAATTGATCCACTCTGAACCGAGATATTAGCTTTTGAATTTTAGACTTTCATCATTACTAAAGTTGACACGATAAAAAAAAAAGTCTCGATTATCCAATTTTAAGTTTAATTACTTTTCATAAAATGTATTAATTATAAGGCTAGCGATGACATCAAGAGTTGATTATGGTCTGAATAAGTTAATTAATGTTTAATTAATAATTTAGATAACATTTCAGGCCTAAAGAAAGACCTGCAATAGGCAGATTTAGCTCTTGCATAATGTATGTTTAATATGATTATTACAATGACATCATTATTAATGTGACGTCATAATGTATGTTTAATATTAGAAGACTGTTAACGATAACTAATGGGTATTTATCACACCTTAAACACCAGTAATAGAACATATAAAATAAAAATAATTTAATGGAGTATCATAAACAATGTAAGATTATCCACCTGATTATTTTGTAATAAATTGGAAAATTGTTGTAAATACAATTATACTGTTTGTGTATTTTGTTAATGTTTAAAATGAGGTCCGCTATCACTGCTCGCTATTCCCAAATATGTTGCAATTCAATCTAATTAAAACACAGATCCTATTTCGTTTTGTATTTTATAGTTCAAAATTTTGTTTTATTTGTCTGTACTACACTAGGATCTGGAACAGTTGTTATATAACCTGTGTTCTGCATGATGTGAGGGGTTAGTCAATGAAACCAACTGTTACAGCGACTTTTTGGCGTGTGATGCACTGAATTGTGGGTAAACCACTAAAAATGTCAATGCTGATTGATTAATCAATGTCTAATGTCATAGGGCTAAAAGCCGTTCATAAGACCTCTGACGCGACCTTTTACTACAATCGGTAGATCATCGAAAGTATAAAAAAATGATACGAAATATAGATCTGTATTTTAATCAGATTGGTTGCAATTAAGCGTTGCATAGTAGGGAAGATTCACATTCAAAATTGAACAAAAGTGTACATGGGCTCATATGGTTAGGAGTGCTGTAAAAGTTTAGGCTGAATTTATGGATGAATATGGACTGAAGACAGTGAAGAGTGAGCTTTTGCTGAAAACCATGGTTACTGCCCGAAAATATGTTATTTTTTTACCTGAAATGTATCCCACCCCACCTTAATACATCTATGACAAAGGATAATTGATCATGGTATACAACATTATTGCAAGTATTAGCCTACAATCACTCAGAAACCGCCTAGTTTATTTAGTGTTATTATTGCATTGCTAACCCTTGAAACGTACGTCTTGCGCGGGTTTCAACACCTGTTTGTAAAAATAGGAGTTATCTCCCATCTATTTAGGGGTCCGGTTATAATCACTTGTATTATAAGGTCCATAGTTAAATCGATAGTGCACATCACGATTGGGGACAGTAGCAACTGCCAAAC